ACGTCGGTACGAAAGAGAGATATTTATATGGTCACAAACACCCACTGTTCAGTTATGGGCACCAGCAATTTGAGCCGTAGAATAAGGTCGGCAGCCCTCCGAGGTGCAGTTTTACTACCGACGTATTCTCTGGTCTAATTCACTTTGAGAAAAATGTTTCTTTTACCTCCGCTTCTGGCTACTTCAAAGCGGGGAATTAGAATGCCAATATAATTGTTCGTCTAGCCGGTATGGCATTCCTGATACTTCTGCGAACTTTTCTCTCTTTCGAAAACGCTATAGCTCGGCGTGGTACTGTTGGACATGAGTCGCAAATCAGAAGGCATGGATTCTTTAAAGCAAGCTCTATTTCTCCGTCAGGATCACATGGTTAGTTTGTTTCACATACTTGCAGTCATGCATTACTGTTACTTACTTACTTTTTGGTGCCTTTTTCAAAGTGTTTTCATTGCTTTTCGTTGTATGCGTAATTGTGAAAAAAGAAAACAAGAAGAGGAAGAGAAGCATCCAATCAAAGGCGTGTTGTATGGTACAAGGTGATGACTCACGAAGTCGAAGTACCGTCGGAATGGTGTATTGTTGATTAGGCCTTATCGGTTCCAGTACTTGAAATCCGAATCGATCAAATCTTCACCCTCCGACAGCTCTTAGAGCACTGTCAGACCTATCAAAGACCAACGATCATTGTATTCCTAGACATCCACGCAGATTTCGACTCTGTCGATAGCATTGTTTGTTGAGGAAGGGAGTAACTGAGAAGTATGTATTGATCTTCAAAGAGTTGTATCTTTATACCTCAGGTCGGGTTAGGGCCCATGGCCAACTATCGCCACCCTTCGCTGTCTCCAGTGGAGTTCGGCACGGCTGCCCTATATCCCCATTCCTTTTAAACTTTGTCATGGAGGATGTTCAACAGAATGCTTTATCCGGTCTAGCAAACGGTGGAGTCGAACTACTCCCAGGGAACAGAGTCCTCAAGGGCGAACTTCACTTAAATGAGAAATTTAGCTATCTGATTCCGTGATGTACAAGACACATACCGTCTGTGTTAAATTGCAATTTCGTTTCAAAAGATTATTTAAAATCGCACCTTCCGAGCAGACACAATAATGTTCAAATTGAGTTCATGTCGTCATAATCCTTTGTCTTAACTTGATAATAAATATAAAATCGAGAGATATTGTAACTAAGGAGAGTATGTGAACTAAGAACCTGATTAGAGTTGATTTTGAAACGGCCTAGGTTCAAAGAATCATTGCGACCATTCTGCATTAGGTGTTTTGGGTTAGATGAGCCCAACTTCCAGGTTGGGGTCCAAAAGACTATGTAACTGGTTGGTTGAAGACACTGAAGGATGTGACAGAGAACTAACAGCAGTGGCGTTTTTGTTGACATGGCTTATCAGGCCAGAATGCTTGAAATGGTACGTATGCATAGTTGAACTGTGTATTGTGTGTTGACCTTAGACGCTGCTCATCTCCCTCAAAGTAGGCTCAATTCTTGTCCACCTTATATATTCCGACAAACTTTGTATGCATTGCGAGTTTAGCAGCGATCACTGAGGTTTGCTCCATTGTATTTCGCTTTACGATGATGGTGATAATGATTCATTTTAGACACTACATCCCTAACCTTTGCATGGCAGCGGAGTAATGCACTACTGGAACTTTGTTAAACGTCTCAACTATTGTCAACCTGGTTGGTATTGCTGTGTAATGTTGGAAGACAGCTTCTGTAAGCATCTGGGTTTCCAGTTCCGTGAAAAGAAGCGAGTTAATATCACTACCCATGCGTCAACATCCTGACCTGACCTATATCCAACAATATGCAGTGCACAGCCATTCGGGTAATCCAAGCGGAAGGTTGGATTCGTCAGTTTACTTGATAATGATCTTTAGTTTGCAATACTCGCCACGCGAACAGTCATTTTTGCAGATTTTGTAAGACTGGACGCTGTCGTCCAGCCGCGGCGTTTCTTGATCCGAAAAGAAGCGGTGTCACACAAAAAAGGACACAAATCAACAGCAACTGAACATACGCTTCGGTTTTCAACATAGAGCGAAGAGTGGACATTGCGAACCGGTTACATAAAATTTCAATGCAACGGTCAGCGCGACACAAGTATAGCACAGTCAGTCATAACCCGCCTTTGGAGCGATTCAGCTGCTGTGCATTGAGGAGCTGCTCAGAACCTCATGAAGGCTGAGCGTCAGACCAAGGCGAAAAACAATGGTTCCCCTTTTGGGACCACTGTTAAGGTCACCCCACGTATCACAGCACGGAGACGCAAACGTAAGAGCGTTTCCGGATCCAAAACGAAGCTTCACCCAATCTCAGATAAAGTGATTTTTGTGGGGCTCAGATTATTGACCCAGAAATTCCGCAGCAACACTGCGAAGAGATCACACTTTCCTCTACCATTTTTCATCTCTTCACGTTACTTACTTCTTATGAACGAGGGTTAGAAAGACGATGTGGTGTGCTGATCAGTTGACGGATCTGATAAACGTATGATTGGTTGTAGGGAACTACCCAATGAGTAAGTTTGCACTGTGCGATGTGTTGATTGTGTTGTTATTCCGATCAATCCGTGCCAGTTAAAGAACAAAACTTATTTGATGTGAAATACGTGAGTTTCAAGAAGACCTTTCGCTACTCACGTTTCTCCAACACAACTATTCTGTATTTTCATGTGATACCTGCCAGTGAATTCCGCAGACCGAACGAGAAAATTACCACTATATCTAAAAGCGAGCGGTACCTTGACACAGTTAAAAAACAATCTCTAATCAGTGGAAGGATTAACTTCCCCAGAAATTGTAACAACGGAATGAGGCATGAAGCTTCTCATGGTGATAAATGTACAAATTGCATAATCAGAGGCTGAAACAATATCAATCGGATCTCGATCCACACAAGATTGGTTCACAAAACAGCAGAATGAAACGTACGTGTTCACCTTCCAGGAGAAGCTTCCGTAATCCCACGATACATTCAGTACACTCTGTATCGGATTAACTGTTAGCAATTCGTCAATGCGTTCCAGCGAGCTTCGAACTGCGTGAAAAAACTGTTCCTTTTTGTCCAGCGTCTACAGAAAATTTGAATAAACGGTAGACAATATTTACACACGAGCACTAATATTAATAATAATCAACATTAAATGTAATCGGTATGCAATGTTTCTTTAGATCATATCGACGGATATTTGACATTATTACATGGCATTATCGCACATTTTGTAGGCGACGAATTCCAATATTCTGAAATTAATCAAGTCCTAAATCCGGTACTAGATTCGGTGAAACACTCGATGTTCCCAACAGAGGTGTGATATCGAACGCAGCAACAGAAGAGGCTAATCACAAAGCACGTAACTGCGGCTGGCAACCTTTGTCCTTTTGTGTGGATAGGGTTCAAATAACTTTTTCGTTGGATCTGACATCTGAACGGTGTTACCATGGAAATATGGCGTCCATTTGAACAAAACATTTTTTCATTATGGCGATTAGGGCATTGTCAACGAAAAAATTTAAGATTTTTAATAACTTCAAGTTTAGTTTAAGGATCACCAGTTGTACTTCCGTGTGCCATTTTTTCTGTTGCTGTTTTAAATGGATAATGACAGGAATAAATAAAAGAGGTAAAAGCTGTGTCGCGAAAAGATAAATAGACAGATTGCATGTACATTAAATGTGCGCTGAAATTGAGCAGAGAAAAAAGACAGTAGCTAATATGAATGATCGTGTTGTTGAGTTCCATTACGTACTTTAGACTGGAGTATTGGTAAATCGGACGGTAGTCGGCGATTATCCAAACGAATTCGATTCAAAAGCTTCTTCTTCTCAATCTGAAACGACACATGTTAGGAATAATTTATTGCAAAAAAGAGTACAAACGACGATGCATCTGAAAATCGAGTTTGATGAGTAATGGGAAGTGTGATAGAGTTTAGTGCCGAAAAGCACGCAAAGATATCATAGTTGCCACTCGTAAATGCAGGAGACTCTATCAGTATAATTGCGGATGTAAATGCATCAAATAGCAAGGCAAGTTCAACTTAGACAATAGCGATGAGAGATTTCGCGACAATAAAGTTTGCCGAGATAAAAATGGACTACAACTAAGAACGTGTAGGACCACTGTATACCCCACTAACCACGGGCCTAGCTTTGAGGGTCTAACAATTAAGACAAACGGGATTACCAAATATCAATAAACCCCGCATTTGCCGGTAACGGCAGTGATGGAATACCCTGGCATAATCAGGTTGAAATAGGATCCTTTTGCGATCAGGCTCGGTTCGGTAGCTGACGTCTGCAAACCAAGGTAGAAATCGCATTCCAGGGGTTTCAGCACAACCGTTTGAGTGACTTAAAACTTGTTTTAACTTGGAATGGTACAGAAACGTGCACGATTGAAATTTTTAAACCTACTACAGTGCCCAATGAGGATGAAAAATATTATAAACACTAAACTTACCACTCGTTCACGAAAGGTATCCAGGGAATTTTTGAGTTCCTCTAGTCTCTGATAAGTAGATTTACGAGCTTGTATTTGTTCTTCCAGCTGCTCAGTCCGAGACCGAAGGAAAGTCCATTCAGCAAGAGAACCAACTGCCGAAAGCCTTGAACGCAGACTTGAGTCGTCTTGTTTTCCGTGAGCGCGGTTACGACTTAAAAGCCTCAACTAGAAATAAAGTTTTTAACATAATCGAATATCTCGGATGTTTAAATAGAAATTCAAAGTAATACTGATACGTCACAGATATTGGAAACAATGTTGCCAAAAACATTCATCTCACTAAGTTATTGAAGATACTGTCTTTTGAACACTGATTCCAATCAGGCCTAAAAAAGTGTTATTAGGCAACTGCTTTGCTGATAGGCCCAATACCAGTTCAGTGCCACTTAATCCCGGAGCTAAAACGGTCGACCAGTGCTTGGAACTATGCAATTTATTTCATCAGTGATATGACATTTATTCAATCCGTCATGCAGAAAGGTAAGGTATTCAGTGTTTTATGCTTGCCTCATTAAGTCGAAAATGGAAGTGAAGATGAATGAGAGAATGGAAAATGTGTGGTGCTGAGTGTCTAGCCTACATCTTGTACACATTCAAACTGACCTAATAAGGTGGTGGCGCAGCGATTTCGTCGCTTTCACCGACATGCTTTGGATCTTATAGCCCAAGGTTCGAGCCCCACCACCGCCAGCCAACTTTGGTGGAAGGCAGTCTTACTGTCGTCCGGTTCAAAACCATGCCTAACCTGGTGGGACCTTATGAGGTTCCGGGGCTTTGCTCGTCTTCTGTTCACCACACTAAGGGGTGCAATAAGAAAAATGTCAATATAAACACAGACCAGCTGGCATCCCAATGCACAGGAGGACGAGTTCTAGGAAAAACTTACCCAACTTATCCGGGTGTGCCGAAACTCCGATACAACTATGCTTGTTGGTGATTTTATGGAGCTGTTTGAGTACATTCTTGGCTAGATGGTGGTTTCGCTGTGTCCAGAAGGCAGAGAACAATGATCAACTACTTCATCTGCGTGCAGATTATTTAGCACCAACTTTCGATACGTGGTATTCTAGGTCAGAGTAAGCTGATCTAAATTAACGACAACAGAAAGTTACCATAGGAGTAAAACATTGCAGGTCCAACAGGACCAAATGCGTTGAGTTGGGTCACACTGGTTTCGAAGACTTTTGAAATTCGACCAATCGGTCATCGGATAATCACGGTTTTAGTAAACCAATGACCGTTCGTGTGACCCAACAACCTGTACTTGATAGGTTAACCCGCATAAATATATATATATATATATATATATATATATATATATATCGTATCGGTTCTCAAGTCTATGTTTGTTCAATCGAGCTAGAACATTTAGTTCACGACATAATATTGAATGGGAGAGAGAGCACAAAAAAGCTAGGCTGCACCATTTATGCCAAGGCAGAGTTCGGGGCATCTCAACTGGTACAGTGCGGCAGAAAACTAGTCGCAGTTGCACACACGGATTCAGGAGCACATCCCATGTTGAGTTCGACGTCAATTGACCGCATCATATTGTAGCGAGGCGATCTGGCTGGGGAAACGTTTATTGATCCAATTCAAAAACAACTAGTATACGCGTTCAATTTTATACATTTAATTCTTAACCGCGCGGCAGGATGATTCATGCCTCTTTCTGTTGGTTAATCCCTGCTGGTTTTGGTCCGCATTTGGCGCGTACGTTGCCTTTTCTTCCACGTGCCGTTCCGGCTGGTTTGAGTCGATCNAGTCGATCGTAGCGAGAGATACGTCGATCGACAGCTCCGACGTAGTGGCATACAGTGTATATCTTTCTGGCTAGCTGCGGATTGCTTGTGGGGCTGTAATTGTCGATTCGTTCGTTTCAGGTGGTAGTGAACATTGTCTCTCGAAGTACTTCCAGCCGCTACGTCTGCGCGTCTGGTTGGATGGGCCCCATTCTTGATTCGTTCGCTAGCCGGGGCCCTTTTTGTGCCACCTTCCAATACAATATGATCAAAGGTCATGCTCCAATTTGACTCTTCAAACCCACACAGGCATCACACCATTAATAACCCCAACCTTACCCAAGGACATCGAAGACAAAAGTAGCCTGTCATCTATCTCTTGACATTTGTTGATGACGAATCATCGTCCGGAAGAGACAAGTAGGTTTAGAGTCACTTATGATAACACCACACCCGGCTACTTAGATCTGCGAAGTCGGTTGTGATTAGAAAATGGAAACCTGATCCGCGTGTGCAAAAAGATACGAAGTGACAGCAAGATCGCCACTGTTGTCAGTTCTCTGCCATACCCTTCAGTGCCTTCAACCAACCAGTTACAGAGTCTTTTGGACTTCAACCTGGAAGATAGGAGACACCTAATAGCTCTGTGCATTTCTTCATGCCTCGTCTTCAAGCCAACTGTTGACCTTCGCACGGCTTTGTCCAGTCTGGAGCAGTCATTGCACATAATGCCTGGTGTGGTAGGCGACCGTGAGGCGTACGCAAAGGCGTGTCCTAATCGGCGAAGCGTAATGAGCTGAACTCGATGCGACAGCGAATTTTTCCTCAATAGGCTCCCAAACACGACTTCAAATGTTACTGAGTAGTTCACTTCAGTTAACCTGGGCCAAACTATGCAAACATTGTATATCGAAAAATCTCCGGATGGATATCTTTTACTCACAAATTCAAGGTCTCATAATCATAAGGCAGAACTAAACGAACGGGGTTCAATACACACGAACTTCCAACTTCAGTGCAACTTCATATCGTCATCACAGATGTATGCTGTTTGACTCTTGGAAATGCGAACAATAATCTACGAGGATTACGTGACACTGTCCCCTAAGCACCAACCTTCAACAGACGGGAGAATCTGGTTAGCGTCAAGCTAGCTGAATTGTTCGTTGAAATAATTCGCCGAGCGGTCAGGTCCTATTCTGAAAACCTTCATTGCCGCTTGTTTCACTAACCAGGATTCGTCGACCTTCAGTGTTGTATATCAGTTGCAACAGTCTTAGACTATCCCCTGAAGCAGCTTCTGGCCGAATTTGTTGGTTTTGTTGCTGATCAGTGAGTCGGCAAGTGAGCTGCGTCAAAACTAATGCTTAAAGAGACTCAACCCAGGTGGTTTAATAGGACCTACAGTTTCGTAATGAGCCAAATTAGGGGTAACCTACTGATATTTGATCGATCTGAGTGACTACTCGTTGGAGTCGAGCGCCACCCCTTGAGGGATTTGTTGGAAGTTGGTACTTGACAGGAACAGATGGTGATCTGAGCTGAGACGAAGAATTGATTTGCTATTTTCTGTTCTCTTGAAAGCCTCAGTACGGTCGGGGGTGGGTATCTTGGGTTGCGGCTGGTCACCCTCCCTTGTACCTCATGAAATGCACCCATATGACCAAGCGTCTCAAATAGCCTCTGCTGAGGAAGCCCTACTCATTGCCTTCCCGTGGCGGAGATGTTTTTCTCACCAAAGTGAGAGGACGAAAAGCCGAAATCTGGGGCTATAACCAGGTCGGCGAACCACTGGCAGTTCACTTAAGGGAGATGGCTAAAAACCCTGATTCCAAACCAGCCAAGAGGCGCACGAACCACTCACACCTTTCTGGTCGTGACACAGTCACCGGTTCCTTTGGGCATCGATGTGTATTGGGCACCTTGGACGTTTGACCCCGTCCGAAGAGCACATGATCCGATGAACCGGACACCGGCCCCTAATGGATTGCGGACTCTGAGTGCCGTCCTGTTGTTCTGCAGGTCAGGCTTTCTAGTCAAAGGCTTCAGGTGGGGACCCCGAGGTTAACCCCTTCTTCGACTAGGGCAACCGGGAAGTAACATGCCTACACAACACATTATACATTTCCGAATTTTTGGCTCTAACTATGCGCTCTTTGACCGAGGTGTTGGCGGTCGGCTCCACCGATTTTCACGTTACCNACACCAACAGATCACACTCTTTCCCTTCCTCAATTATTGAACTTTCCTATACTCAGTTTACCGCCCATTATTTCGAGTATCCAACAGTGTGTTGCTCAAGACCATGGCAGAAACCATAGTCTTGTTCCCACGCGAAAGAAACAAGCTTCCGATCAGGTTATCCCGGAAAAAGTACTCGCACCCCGGTCGCAGATGAAGTTAGGGACTTTCAACGTTCGAACACCTATGCAAGTTGGGGCTTAGGCAACACTCGCTCGCACACTGG